AAAACCCCCCGCCACAGCGGTTCCTCCGCAACCGGGACCTTGCTGGCCTTTTCAGGGGGATTTAGGGGTGGTGGGGGGGTTGTGTTCTTGTGTCCGTGCCCCACGGTAGCTGTAGGCACATCCCAAACTGTCGCAGGAGCAGAGCCCTCAAGTGGCTTCAGGAGCCGTGGGGTTCCTGCCCCCCCCAGAGCAGCCCCCGGCCACTGTCCCCTCTGCTCAGGTCCCGGTGCCAGCAGGGACAGCAGGACGGATAAATAAAACTCTTCTCTGAGCTATGCAGCTGGTCCGAAAATACCCCTAGGATTCTGTGGTAGCCTTTTCTGGAGCCTGCTTTTTCACTTACTTCCATGGAATATCATCATTTATAGTCCTGTACTGCCCAGCTCAAGGCACTGCTTTTCAGCCTTTTCTCCAAACTGCATTTGCTAATTCAGAAAACCCCATCAACCCCGTCAGGCTCCTGCGCGCGTGGCCAGCCCCACGGCAGACGCTCACCTGTCCCTTTGCTTTCAGACTCTAGGTCACTTGGAGAAGGCTGTGGTTCTCGAGCTCACCTTGAAGCATGTGAAAGCACTAACCAATCTCATTGAGCAGCAGCAGCAGAAAATAATTGCTTTGCAGAATGGTTTACAAGCCGGTGAGTATTCAAATCGTATCGTGTGAGAACCTGCGTGCGCTTGATGGACTTTCTCTCGTAGTCTTTGAAATGCAGTTGTGACACTTGGTTCCTAAGAAGGGAGGAGGCAGGAGTTCTTGCCTCTAATCACTGTCATTTTCTGTCGCTTTGCTTATGAGCTTTTGCAAAAAAAAAAAGATGCATTTCTCAGTACGGTCAATGTAGAGTGCCCTGTGGAGTCCTTTTGAAATTAAATTGGATTTTAAGTAGTTTTATTTAAAGCACAGGTTTGCTGTGAGGTTCTCTCCCAAGCCATTTGAATCTTTCCATTCGTGTTCAGGAGCTTTGGATCAGACGTGGTTTTGATTGTTTGTTTGTTGGTTTGGTTTTTTTTTCTGAAAATACATACAAACCTGCTTTTTTATACACACCTTTTTTAAGATCTCTTTGTAAACCAGCTAGCCTGTGTTCTGCAGACCAAGAGGGGACCCGGTGCTTCGGCTTATCGTGCTTTAGATGCACTTCCTCCTTCTGTTTTCACATGTGGCACTCACGTGAATCTGATAAAGTAAAATTTAGTTTTTCTGAAGAGCCTTCCAGTGCTCTGACAGCCACAGGGAGTGCAGTAGAGCTTTAAGCTGAAGCAGAACCGCCGGAGGTTGGTGGAGCTGCTGGCGGGCAGACGTGCTCCAGGAGCTCTCTGCCCGGAGGTGAAGGGCGAGGTGCGCTCTGCCTTCCTCGGGGTGTTTCCCGGAGAAGGCACCAGCTTGACTCACTCCTCTGCTCTGTACTTCAGCACCTGTTAAAGGTGGCATATGCAGCAAATACAGAAATAAAAAATAAGTTTAAAGTTATTACATAAAAGTGGGCAGGCAGGTGTTCAAATACAAACGTGCTCTTATGCAGAGATCGGGGAAATGGATGCGAGAGTCAGGTTGACCATCACGTTCACCTCTCGAGCTGTGCTGTAACCGAAGTTTAATACCGTCTCAAAGTTGGTAATGGAACTATTTAGCACGTTGTTAATTTTTAATTTCTTTCTGTTAATGTTTCCTCAGGTGACCTGTCATCAAGAAACCTTGATTCCAGCCAGGAAATGTTTCGATCCGGTTTCCAGATGTGTGCCAAGGAAATGCTGCAATACCTGGCGAAGCACGAGAACGGCAAGGACCTGAAGTCGTCCCAGCTGGTCAGTCATCTGCACCGAATGGCCTCTGAGGTGCTCCAGGGTGGAGCCGGCCGCAAGTCCGGAGACGTCCCTCCTAAAATGGTGGACTTGAAAGAGAAACCCGTCTCCTTGACCAAAGCGACCGAGGGACACGGGAAGAACTGCGTGCCTGTGATCCAGAGGACATTCGCTCACTCCAGCGGGGAGCAGAGCGGCAGCGACACAGACACGGACAGCGGGTACGGGGGAGAGCTGGAGAAAAGTGACTCCAAATCTGAACAGCAGTATTTCCGAAAGGATACTGAACTCAAGTACGCTGTCCAGGAGAGAATTAGCTCTATTAAACAAGAGACTGAGGACCCGCCGGCCAAAAGGAGCAGGCTGGAGTCGCCGGAGGATGAGGGCCCTTTTGGCAGCGACATGATGGGCTCTTCCAGCAGCTTCCTGGGCCCCCACGCTCACCAGCCTCCCTTGTGCCTGCCTTTCTATTTGATCCCACCCTCTGCAACGGCCTATCTGCCCATGCTGGAGAAGTGCTGGTACCCAGCATCCGTACCCGTCTTGTATCCCAGCCTCCCCACCTCTGCTGCAGCGCTGACGGGGTTCATGAACCCTGAGAAGATCTCCCCACCTCTGCTGATGCCCCAGAGACTCCCTTCTCCCATACCGGCCCATTCCCCTATCGACTCCTCGGCTCTGCTTCAAGCTTTGAAGCAGATTCCTCCTTTGAACTTGGAAACCAAAGACTAAGCACAGTCTGATTTATTTTTTTTCCTTTTTGTATTCTGTTTTTTTTTAGTTTGAGACTGTTTCACTTTTCTATATTGGCTGGACTGAGGTGTGGGGATAAGGTTCACTGCACGTAGGAAGCTAAATCCCCTTTTCTCTGACTTGTCAGGTAGCTTGGAGAAGGATGAAGGATGCGCCCAGGTTAGCGATTCAGAACTACTTCCAAAAGAAAACACAAAGAAAGGAAAAAAAGAGAAAAAAAAAAAAGAGGGTTGTGTGCTTTACCCCTTCCCTTCCCTTCCCTCCTGCATCTACAGAGCAGCGGCTGGCTCGGTCAGCTGCGCCTATATTGCAAAGCTGTGAAAAAAATACTCCATGAGGCAGACTTGGTTTGAGGGTCTGTGAATAGAAAAATACGGTACTTGTCATAAGGGCTTTTAGGGCAGCGGCCCCACTGCCGGAAAAAAGAGGGTTGTGTGCTTTACCCCTTCCCTTCCCTTCCCTCCTGCATCTACAGAGCAGCGGCTGGCTCGGTCAGCTGCGCCTATATTGCAAAGCTGTGAAAAAAATACTCCATGAGGCAGACTTGGTTTGAGGGTCTGTGAATAGAAAAATACGGTACTTGTCATAAGGGCTTTTAGGGCAGCGGCCCCACTGCCGGTGGTTTGCGCTGAACCGATTCCGTGCCCATCGGTGCCGGTGTCCGGCGCGGCGCCGAGGGTGGTGGTGGCAATGCCACCCACAGCGTAGGAGGAGCAGAGCGGCGGTCGCTGCGTGGTCATGCACAGCCAGGTAGACTTAAGACGGGTTTCTCTCCACACCTTTGCTGATATATAAATATATATATAT